CTAGATGCATATGAATTGCCAAAGTTGAACAAAGAAGATATAAAAATTCTACACACCCCAATTTCATTTAGTGAAATTGAAAACATAATTTAAAATTTACCAACAAAGAAAAGCCCAGGATCGTAATGGCTTCACCGCTGAATTCTACAAGACATTTTGAGAAGAACTATTACTACTACTCTTTAAACTCTTCAATGAAATTGAAAGGGAAGAAATACTTCCAAATTCATTCCTGAAAGCAAGTGTTACTTTGATTCCAAAAGCAAAGAAAGACCCAACTGAAAAAGAGAATTACAGGTCAATTTCCCTAATAAACACAGATGCAAAAATCCTCAATAAGATACTGGCAAACAGTATCATCAAGATCATACACCCTGCCAGGCATGGTGGTGCACACCTGTAATCTCAGGAGGCTGAGGCAGGAGGATCGCTGTGAGTTCGAGACCAGCCTGGGCTACATAGTGAGTTTCAGGTCAGCCTCAACTACATAGTGAGACCCTGTCTAAACGCCCCCCCCAAAAAAAGATCGTACACCCTAACCAAGTTGGATTCAGCCCAGGGATGCAAGGATGGTTCAACATATGTAAATCAATAAATATAATACAGTATATTAACAGACTGGAGGATGAAAACCATATGATCATCTCAATAGATATAAGAAAAGCATTTGACAAAATCCAACACCCATTCATGATAAAAACCCTGCAGAAAATTGGAATAGATGGTCTTTATCTCAATCTGATAAAGGCTATCTAAGAAAAACTAACAGCCAACATCATACTAAATGGTAAAAAACTGCAATATTTCATGCTAAAATAAGGAATAAGATAAGGATGTCCACTATACCACTCCTGTTCAATATAGTTCTGTAAACATTAGCCACAGCAATTACAAAAGAGAAATAAAAGGAATAAAGATAGGAAAGGAAGAAGTTAAACTGTCATTATTTGCTGATTACATGATACTCTACATAGAAGACCCAAAAAACTCCACTAAAAACTTCTAGACTTAATTGACAGATTCAGGAGAGTAGCTGGATATAAGGTCAACTCTCAAAAATCAATAGCCTTCTTGTACACAAATAACAGACTCACTGAGAGAGAAATTGGGAAAACAATTTCTTTCACAATAGCATCCAAAAAAATGAAAAATCTAGGAATCAATCTAACAAAGGAAATAAAAGACCTCTACCTTGAAAACTATAGCACTCTGAAGAAAGAGATTAAAGAGGATATAAGAAAATGGAAAAACATCCCTTGTTCCTGGGTATGAAGAACCAATGCTGTAAAAGTGGCCGTACTTCCAAAACTGCTATATAGATTCAATGCAATACCGACTGCATTGAAATCCCAACAGTATATTTCACAGAAATAGAGAAAACAATTCAAAAATTCATTTTGAACCAGAAGAGATATAGAATAGCAAAAGCAACTCTAGGCAACAAAGACATGATGGGGGTATCACAATCCCCAATACAAAACTATACTACAAAGCCACTGTGATAAAAACAGCATGGTACTGGCAAAGAAAGAGATCTGAGGATCCATGGAATAGATTAGAAGATGCAGAAACAACCCCAGACATACTTAGCCACCTCATCTTTGACAAAGGAGCCAACCACCTCACTGGAGGAAAGATAGCCTCTTTAATAAATGGTGCTTGAAAAACTGGATTTCAACATGCCACAGATTAAAACTAGACCCATGTCTTTCATCATTCAGTAAACTAACATCAAAGTGGATCAAAGATCTTAATATTAAAACTAAAACACTAAACTTGCTGGAAGATAGGTTAGGTAGAACTCTTGAAGACCTTGGCATAGGAGAAGACTTTATGAACAAAACCTCAGTGGCATGGGAACTAGCCCAGAGAACCAACAATTGGGACCTCATCTTATTAAAAAGCTTCTGCACTGCAATAGAAACCACCAACAGAGCTAAGAAACAACCTATAATGTGGGAAAAATTTATACCAGCTATTCCTCAGACAAATAACTACTATCTAGAATACGTAATGAACTTTTAAAAAATCAGACCCCTTCGACACCAGCCTGGGCTACATAGTGAGTTCCAGGTCAGTCTCAACTATATAGTGAGACCCTGTCTCAAAAAACAAAACAAAACAAAAAAATAAATACATAAAAATAAAAAATCAGACCCCCCCCCAAATTTAAAAATCTGATTCAATAATGGACACCTGAAATTAACAGATATTTCTCAGACAAAGAAGTAAAAGCAGTAAATAAACATATGAAACAATGATCAACATCACTGGTCATTGGAGAGATGAAGATGAAAACAATACTGAGATTCCACCTCACTCCAGAAAGAATGGCTGCTATCAAGAAATCAACCAATAACAAATCCTGGCAGGGTTGTGGGGAGAAAGGAACCCTTCTCCATTGTTGGTGGGAGGGCAGACTGGTGCAACCACTGTGGAAATAAATATGGAGATACCTCAAAAAACTAGGATTAGAGGTCCCATTTGATCCAGCTATTCCCCTGCTGGGTATCTTCCCAAAAGGATTAAAAGAATCATACCACAGCGATATATACACACCAATGTTTACAGTGGCACAGTTTGTAATAGCTAAAAGTTGGAAACAGCCCAGTGGCCTAGCAACTGGAGATTGGATTAAGAAGATGTGGGTTTTTTAATTAAATGGAGTACAACTCAGCCCTAAAGAATGAGAAACTAGAGTCATTTATAGCTAAATGGATGCACATTGAAGTCATACTCTTAAGTGAAATAAATAGGACACACATGTGTAAATACCAAATAGTTTCTCTGGTACGAGAAAATAAAAGTGTAAATAGGGATCAAAATGTATAATAGATAATGTGAAACAGGAAGAAAAGGTCTAAAGGGGAATGGGAAGTGGGAGAGGTGGGGAAAGGAAAAATACGAGGAAAGGAAAAAATGGAAACAAAGTCTTTTTAAGTAAAGAGGGTTGGAGAGGTTGAAGGGAGGGCAGGGAAAGGGGGAAAAGTAAGAACCAAGATATATCAGGTAAAGGTACATATTCCCAATGATGAATGCCATCATAACGCATACCTAAAATGTGCCAATAAACTTAATGAATTTTTTAAAAAAAGACACCAGTCACACAAAACTGTTACACAGCCTCTGTCATGGGTGGAGATGTGGGGGGGGGTCCTTCTCCTTTTGAGCTCTGTTGTCTGCAAAACTGTGCGTTCGAGCTGAGGGGATCCATCTGGAAAGGTTGATGAGCTGGTTTTGCCAGGAACCCCCAGAGTATCACTTGGCAAAGACTGCTTTTTAATGTTACTGTCTCAACTTTCAGGACTCATACACCTTATAGATGGTGTCACTTCTTTATAGAGATTTTAAGCTTATATAAAGTAGACCTGAAATTCCAAGTCTCGTGGGAAACTTTTGCTGCACCTAAAGCTCAGATTTCCTTATATACTTCTGCTTCTCTGGGTGAAAATGTTTTCTTTTTTCCTACAAGTATTTTTCTGTGGTCTCAGCTTTATGAATGGCCTTAATACCAAGACTCTTGTAAGAGCTCCCTACCCTCATCTGTACCCTGCATGGCCTCTAAACCTCAAGCCCAGGCAGCTGCTTAAGCAGCAAAATCACCACTTGGTTTTCAGTTCCCTTTTCATTTTTGGCCCAGGAAATTTTGCTTATTTTCTTAAGCTCTCAGCTATGTATTTAAAGGAAAGTTTGTTTCTTACCTAGCATTTCTAGGTGTTTAGAAGGACTTTTTTTCAGGCTACTTCCCCTGCTAGTAAGAATTTAAAGACATCTGATGTCTCAGACTAGAGATTTGTGGAATTATACAATTTTGAAATTTCCATCCTGCAGACTGACATAATTACAGAATCCCCTTTTGAGCAAGAGTGGTGCTCAGAGGCAGAGGCTACAACCCAGGCTGATCTTCCACACAGTGTTTCCTACAGGGCCTGGGGACCATGCAGCCACCATGCTAAAATGTCTAACACTTCTTTCTATGGAGATACACTATAGAGAAGGAGTCGCTCAGATGGGTTGGATCATTGAGAGGCCACAGAGTCTGGTCCGGGGTGGGCAGTGGAGGTAGAGAGAGAAGAAAGGAGCCATGGTATACAGTGGGCCTGACGTGGGTGGGAGCTAGGAAGCAGAGAGAGGCATTGCCTTCAGCCAGGGGTAAAGGGTTATGAGTAAGAATGGTGTGACCCCAGGAGAGGACCTCTGGGGAGGCAGGTGGCGGCTCCATGACCCTCACGGGGCCCTATTCAATCACTCAGAGCTCTTCACAGTGGGCCTCTGTCCCCTCTGACAAGATGGAGAAAGCAGCATGTGTAGGCCTCATGGGGGTCTGGCCCTTCCACCAGCCTCTAAACTTTGGGGCATCCAACTTGAGATGTAGATCAGACAGTGACAAGTTTATGTGGTCTCGAACAACCATTTCTCAGGTCTACTGGGCACCAGGTGATCCCAATGTGGCCCAATGTACTCCCAAATAGGTAGTCCAGGTCTGTAATCTCAGCACTGGGGAGGCTGCCGCAGGAGAATCACTGAGATTTTGAGGCCAGCCTGGCCTACATAGTGAGTTCAAAGCCAGCCTGAACTCCATAGCAAGACCATCTCAAAAAAACCAAAACCAAACAAAATAACAAAGGTGTCCCTTGGAATGCTGTAGGCCCACAACAGACAGAACTGGGAGTGGGGGACTGAAGTATAGGTGACTCTGGCACTACCACCTGGACAGTTGGCCTCGGAAAGGACTGGTCAGATAACCTCCACACCACTCCACTACTCCTGGATGGATGAGGAGGACAGTCAGTCAGTGGGTGTGGGGAGAGGCGGGGCCTCCTGCCTCTCAGGAGCTTTCCTATAGATAAATATCTTCCTACTCTTAACCTCCATTGTTCCTACGACTCATTCTTCGATTTCTAGAGAACAAGAACTTGGTGTATCATACAGTTATCAGGTTGGGAGATATATTTCTCATTTCATTTCTGGTATTATTTCCTGTAACACTTCCCACACAGAACCCCAGATTCCCCAATCAGGAATATACAAAAATCTCTTTATTTTTCACTTTCTATAAAAAGTCATGCTTCTGAGAAGACCCTGAGGTGGGAGGTGCAAAGCATGTCACAAGCGATCCAGGCCTGCAGCCGAGAAGGGGTGGTACAGTGGGCCGGAGCCATAGTCTCTTCCCTGAGCTGGCCCAAGGGCTGATGCGTAAGGTCCTGGGTAGCAGCCCCTCATAGTCACAGGGCCTGCCTTGCCCTGGAGGGGGCTGTGGAAGCTCCAGGTGACTCCGAAGGGGCAGTCTTGAACATAGGGGAGGGGACAGAGGGTCATTCTTGCCAATGGGAAGGACCCAAAGGGGACCCAGCACCCTCAACCTGAGATGGAGTGCTGCAGGCAATTAGGACAGGACAGGCAGGGGACAGGTGTTACCTGGGGCCTGGGCTGCTGATCTCCCACCTGTGACTCCTGTACCTTTGCACTGGTCCCACCCCAGCACCCCAGAACATCCGAGGGGCACTATACAGTACCCAGGTCCTTGCTTGCCCCCTAGTGGAGACCTTGTTTACCATGGTGCCCAGGTAAGCAAGGGTTGTACACAGGTAGGTCTTGCCAGGTACATGTGTGGCCCCAGAAGAGGAAAGCTTTAAGCTCTAAGCTCTTGTCCCTGATCCCAGTGTGCAGACCAAGTTCGAGGGTGACAAGCAGGAAGGCAAAAGGCTTCGTCGGTTCCTGGGGTCCTCCAGGCCCCCCAGTGCCTGTTCAGAGGCCTACAGGCTCTGGGCCTGAGGGAAGCCTCCCTTGCAGCTCCTCCTCCTCCATACAGGCCACCCGGCCACGGTCTCCACCACGCTCACCCTCGCCGTCACTCTCATCAGAGTTGTCCTCTTCCAGGTAGCGGTAGCCACGCACCTTGTGCTGAGGCCGGGGGATGCGTGGCTGGCGCGGGAGGACCCCGCAACTCAACTTCTGCTCCATCCAGAGGTACGAGGCCACAGCCACCACCAGTGTGATCAGCAGCACAGCCAGCTTAGCCTGGGTGCAAGGGGCAGGATGACTCTTCTGGTCCCTTGGACCCGCCTGGCCCTCAACTACCCCAACCCTTCCACCCAGGCTTCCAGGGCACCCTCCTGAGGCAAAACTCAATGCCAACACTAGTACAGTAGCCATACTCCTGGGAGCCTCAGTTCCCCTAAGAGGGAGAATGAAAATCCCTTTGCCTGGAAGGGTAAAGGTGGAGATTAGTCAGTACTGGTGAACCTACAGCATGTGTGCTGCCGAGGGCTACTTGTTATCATTGAAAGCTCTAAAAGGTTCGCCATCACTGGCTTAGATCATTCCTAGTTGCTTAAACACAATGAGTTACAGAAATGCTTTTCAGATGCTTTTGGCTTTCGACTTAGTCAAAAACGGTTGAGCTCCCTGAGTATATACATAGGTACTTGCATGCATAGTCTGTTTTTTTCTACTGTGTCACTGTTTAAAATATTGGTCAGGACCTACTAAACTGGCTGTCTGAGGCTGAGGAGCAGGGTACTAGAACTTGGGCTGGGATAGAGGTCAGTGGCAGAGCTCTTGCCTAGCATGGGTGAGGCTCTGGGTTCCATACCCAGCACCACAAAAGCAAACCAACAGAGGAGCCTGCTCCCCTGCAGGTCATGAAGCAAGATAGGCCCTGGGCTTCTAGGAGCCCAGCACTTGGCGAAGGGTGACTGAACAACCCTGAAGGAGGCTAAGACACACACACAAAGAACAATGAGCTGGGAGAAAGGGTCCTTGGCTCAAGGCCTGATCCTTAGGAGGATGGGAACCCAGGGTGCTCAGAAGGTATTTATTGCCTGGGGGCATGGCATGGGGGTTCCTAACCCCACCCAGCCTCACCTTCATGGGCAGGCTGGAGCCCAAGTACACCACAAAGATGGCCACGGCCTGCCACCAGTGGTAGATGGTGAAGATGAAGTCCTGCCTCTCCTTGTCCTCGTACATGATTCCCAGGAGTGCTGCAGGCAATTAGGACAGGGCAGGCAGGGAACAGGTGTTACCTGGGGCCTGGGCTGCTGATCTCCCACCTGTGACTCTCCTGTACTTTTGCACTGGTCCCATCCCAGCACCCCAGAACATCTGAGGGGCACTATACAGTAGCCAGGTCCTTGCTTGCCCCCTAGTGGAGATCCTGGTTACCATGGTGCCCAGGTAAGCAAGGGTTGTACACAGGTAGGTCTTGCCAGGTACATGTGTGGCCCCAGAAGAGGAAAGCTTTAAGCTCTAAGCTCTTTTCCCTGATCTCAGTGTGCAGACCAAATTCGAGGGGCTGTTACTCTTTCCGCGCAGGGGCTAGCTAGGGCAAACTTTCGAGCAACCAAATGTCTACAAATCAAACCTGAAGTGTGGGAGATAGGGATTTGTTTCACAAAGAATCCTTCTTGGGGTGGGCCAAGGAGTCAGGAGACTCAGACTGGAGTGCTGGAGACTGGAAGGTGGCAGAGGACAGAGTTTAGGGATGCAGAGATGTTGATTCAAGTGTGGGCTCTGTAGGAATTTTGGGGCAAGTTTCTTAATTCCCCAGAACTGCTTTTCCCAACTGTGAAGTGGATTTATACATACTATATATTGTGCTAGAAAGTTCTAAGGTGAGAAAATCCACACAGCATCTGGAAGATCATGGGAGGTGCTTGCTACTGATACCTTTGGCATGCTCAGGACATAAACACTCCCATGCTAGGATCCAGGGGTGACATTCAAAACTGTTAGTGGCACTGGCCCATTAGAACATACCACTGTAGACAATGACATGGCTGCACTTGTGTGTTGTGACTTCAAGTCACTGGCACATGCTCACCTGAGCGCAGACAGCAACACACAGCTGAACTCAGGCCCACCCCTGCCTTACCTCCAGCAGCCAACTTAGACTGCTGGTACTGGGCACACTGGCCTGGGCCTTCATGTCTGTTCCTAGGTCCACCCCACAAAAAGGCCCAGATCAGGGGTTGGGGATGTAGCTCAGTGGTAGAGTGCTTGCCTAGCATACATGAGGCCTTGCATTTGATCTCCAGAATCAGAAAAGAACAGAATATAAAATAAATGAGAAAAAGGGCCCTAGGACATGGTCAGGGCCACCTGCTGCTATCCACACTGCCTGGGACAAAGATCCTGACATCTGTTCCCAGTGACATGGAAACTCTGCCAAAGTGGGTCCTGTATCCAAGTTCAAAAAGGATCTGTCCCTGTTGTGTTTTTTACTGTCCCTATGAGATTCCAGAGAGCACACAGTCACCTTGTGTATCTATAAAATCTCATACCACCTCCTCAGGCCTGATGCTCACTTTGGAGTGTCATCAGACTATCCATATCTGCTTCCAGAGTGTCCGTGGGACTTCCCTATCTGTCCCTACAACATGGGTGGAAGTTCCACCCTGGACTGTCCACAGGGACCCCCACCTCCCTATTCTACATGCATAGGATCTCATGCCTGTCTCTGGGGTTTCACTGCCTCCCCAACCACCCAAAAATTGTCACAGGCCCCACCCAGTCATGCCAGTGCCTACAACAGTACTCACTGCTTAGTCCTGTCTTGTTAAGTGCGCTGCCTACACCCCAGAGAACAGCTGCCACATAAAAGATCCAGTTGTGTTTCTGGGCCCGAGGAACAGGGGCCCAGAAAAAGAGGCTGACGGCAAGCAGCAGGTGCAGCAGTGCCCCAGCCACCAGGGGCACTGAGCGTGGCAGCCACAGTCCCAAAAGACCCAGGAATGAGGCAGCCGAGGCTCCCAGGCTGTAGGCAATGAGGAGGTAGGCCAGCCGTTCCAGCCCCATGGAGCACACACCATAGCCCTAAGGGACAAGAGGAGAGCAATGGAGGTCAGAAAGCACTTGTCACTTCAGGCCCACCTTGCCCTCTCTGGACCTACTGGGTGCTACCCCCCTGCAAAGCTGATGGGAAGGCTGCATGGGCATGGAAAATGTGAAAATGCATGGCGCATATCCAGACAACAGAGGGATAAAACCCTCAAAATACCAAATACGATATGGATGATACCTCAATTCAATTTAAGAGATGTTAGAATAACTTACCCAAGGTAAAAAGAGGGAAGAGAAAGAGGGAGAAAACTATTTGGGACACACTTGTTAATACTTAAACATATGCTAAAAGTTACTTGCTGTTTATATGAAATTCAAGTTTAATAAGACATCCTTTTATTGGCCACTATATGCAGGCTATACTTACCAGGGCAAGACCGGTGCAGGCGAAGAGCACCTCAAAACCGCTATAGATAAAGAAGGGCACAAGGTGGCGAAGGCGGAAGTCACGCACGTGCTTGAAGGGCAGCTGGAAGATGTTGCCCCAGCCCACGCTGCGCAGGTCGATCTCCTCGGTGGGCTGGTAAGCAGCGCCGCACAGGCCCAACACCTGCAGACAGGCTCTGCTAAGGCTGACCAGCCAGGCCCCAGGCCAAGGCCCCGCCCTCCGCCACACCTACAGCCTAAGCCCCACCCTCACATCAGACCCCGCCTTCCAGATTTACCCTTTCTCCTCCGCCCGTCCCTTAGCCCCGCCCCTTGGCTCAAGGCCACACCTCCACAATGCCTTAGGACTCGCGGCTCCCTGCCCCGCCCTTAGCAACGACCACGCCTTAACCACGCCCCCAGCGCTTTCGCTCCGCCTTCCAGTACACACACACACACACACACACACACA